GACTCCGGGCTGGCCTCAGGGCACCCACCCCAGCTGCGCGGTGGGCCAGGGTCAGGAAAGCCCGGGAAAAGCAGGGCAAGGCCAGGGAGAGGGAGGCCCAGGAACGGGCTGTCAGGATCAGCTATTGTGGCGTTTGCTTCTCTTTTGACATGCACAAATATTTCCTTTCTGTTCTTGCTGCTTCGCCAGCCTTGGCGGGCCCAGTCAGCAAGGGAGGGTGTTATCTGTTCACCCTCCCCAGCCCCCAGGCGGGGCTGGCAACTGACAGATGGAGCGGACTAAATTCCAGGCCCCCTGGGTAAAAAGGCCCCAGACACCTAATCCGAGACACCTAATCCGAGGGCGGGTGACCCTGCTCCCCACTGCTCCCCCTCAGGCAAATTATTTTGAATCCAACCCCTACTGAGCACCAACAGGGCTGTTTCTTGAGCCGTGCCGCTTGTCGAGGCTGCTGACGGCCTTCCTCCCCTCAGTCAAAATGTTCTGTCTTCTGCAGACGCAGGCAGAAGCGACTGGACTAACCCCTGGGCCTCTCCCACATGGAGACGCCGTGCAGCTCCCGCTCTGCCTCCGTTTGCGTGATTACCTCAGGTGAAGTTACATTGGGGAGAAAAACGGAGCGACTCTGAGTGACGCAGATGGCCGACACTGGGCGGTTGTGTGGGAGCTGCTTTCCGTGTCTGTGTCCGAGGATCCTGGGGCCGGCATGGGCTGCGGCCTCTGCGTCACAGCCTCCCCAGGAGGCCCCGCGGGACCAGGCTGTGCCTGGTGGAACTGGGCCGAGAGAGCATTTGAGGATGCCTGTTACTGATATTACAGTTGTCAAGATAGTTAAAAAACATTTTTTAAAGAATTATTTATTTTGTATGCGCACAAGAACTGGGAAACAGGCCAGAGGTGCAGGGGGTGAGAGGATTCACCAGAGACAGAGTGGGGAGCAGAACAGGCTGATCTACTGAGATACACTGCTGAGGGGAGCAGTGGGGAGACAGGAGAGGGCTGCTGCGCCCTGTGGGTCCCTCCCTGGCCGGGGATCGAACTGGGTGCTGCAGTGGCTGTGGACAGCTTCATAGTGCTGCGCTTTAACTCGATGCACCACCAGGGAGGGCCCCAAAAACATTTTTTTAATGAACTTCAAATTCAGTGTTAGGGAGACTGCAAAATGTCTCTTCCCAATATGGTGGCTCAAAAGTATCCTTTTCACATCTGCTGAGGACAGACATGGTTGGGAGGGGGTAGGCCAAGGCCTCCCCGGAAGGATTGAGGGGTGACTCTCAGGCTCACAGCCTGGAGATGCCTCACCATCCCTGGACCTCACTGGAGCACCACTGAACCCCGGCCCTGTGTTCCCCCATCAGGCCCCCTCAGCTGGCCCCACTCCCGTCCCCCAACCCCCGACCCTCCAAGCTGCTATGCGTGATCCCCAGAGCTCTCAGCCAAGCCCTCTGGAACTCCACAGCTGTCCACAGCGGTCTGCCAGGTGGGTACGGCAGGAAGCACCCCCCCACCTGGCTCATCTGCTCATGACAGTGCATCGTCACAGCCTGGCCTTGGAGAGAGCAGTCCAGCGCTCCCCTAGTGGGGACTGAGCCCTCCTTGGGTCTCCCCAGCACCCCTGTCAGAGCCTCGCCCCCATTCTGGGCCCTGACTACACTCAGCCATAGGGGAAGACGTGGGACAGGCCGGTACCTGCTGCTGAAGCTGGGTGTAGGGAGGCGAAGGCAGAGACTGAAGCGGGGTACAGGGGCCGCCACTCACCCGCCATGGCGTGGCAGGGTGCTTTGGTTTCCTGCACTTAAACCATGTGGGCAGTGACCTAAGACAGGGCCAGAAACAAGCCAAGTGCGAGCCGGGCGCGTTAGCTTCTCCCCGTTGCTGTGTAACAGCCGGTTTTGTTTCTCACCAGCCTGTTAGCTCTCCGCGTGACAGCAGTCTCCTGGCGGCGGGTGGTGGGCCCGATGCCCCTCGACTGCTCTTGTCTGGAGCCCCCAGTCTGGGGTGGGGCAGGGATCAGAGCCAGGCCCCTAGAATAGACCTAAAATAGAGCCAGGGGGCTGGTGGGGTGGGGAGGAGCTGCGGCGCAGCTGGGTGCTTGGTGATGCCCCCTCCCACGGGCCTGGGAGCACGGAGATGGATGGGGGTCCTTGACACCCCTCGGTGACAGCCCCTGTTTCTCGACTGGCTCTTGGCCAGGCTGGATCTCGGCTGCTGGGCTATGCCAAGATCCAAGTGAAACCCTGTGGGTTGGAGAGAGGGCGCCGTGCTGTCTTCAGGGCAATAGCTGCGCCAGGACCCACCCCCACTCCAGTCACAGTCACCCCCCCACCCCCACCCCCACACACACACAACCGGGAATTTCTAAGTGACCTGCTCAGGCCGCAGTTTGGACTCGTTCGCCCCGTGCAGAACCACAGCTGCAGTGTCGATTGTCTGCAGGAGCCCGCAGACACATGGGAAGGGGGAAGAGTGGGGCCCAACTGGAGCTTCCTGTCCAGTCAGGGGCTTGAAACTGACCGCTGGCCAGCACAGAAGAGCACCTGGGGGCCTTAAGAGCTAGGAGGGGCAACTCCCCCACCTGGCTGGGGGGCTGAGCAAGGATTTCTGGAGAAGAGGGCATTGGGGTGGGTGGGACCCGGAGGATGGAGGGACAGAAATGGGGCGGAGAACAGCCTGAGTGAAAACAGAGACAGGAATGGTGGGCTGTGCTGGGCTCGGGGGTAGGTCCTGTCGGGTGTGGAGGGAGGACGCAGAGGTGGACGACCACGCTCAGCCGGGGCCACATCGTACAAAGTCTTGAGTGTCCGAGCGAGGCGGCCGGGGTTAAGTGGGAGGTAACGGAGCCATGGGCAGTTGTAGGCAGATAAGGGACCTGAGCAGGGCAATCTGGCAGAGGGTGGGCTCCCCGGACTGCTGCTGATAAGCCCTGGGGAGCGGCGTGGCCTCCGTGGTGTGTTGGCCCTGCACCCTGAAATACTCTTCGCTGCCCCAGGTCGCTGTGAGTGGTTGGGGGGCGCAGAGAAAGGAGAGGACCAACGCGGGGCCGGGTCCGGGCGCTGGGCACCATGAATGGGCCCACAGCCATTGCCAGGGTCTTGGCAGCAGGACATGGGAGGGGAACGCGGGACCCTGCCGCGGGTCGGGTGCGTGCAGAATGGGTGAGGGCTGTGACGGACGCCCTCTGCCAGCACTGCGGGAGTGGGGGGCTCTGTCCCCGAGACCACCCCTCACGCCCCTGCCGAGCCTCCTCTGGCCTCTTGCCTGCACTACCTCTCTCTTCGCTACCCGCAGGGCAGGGCTGAGGGGTTTCCACTCATTGACCAATATCCCAAAGGTTCCCTCTTGATCGGGTGCTCTGTGGGCTCCCCTCAGCTCCCCGCATCCCTGGGGGACACAAGGGCAGTGCCTGGCACCAGCTCAGACCCGTCCTGGCCACAGTGGGCTCCGGGGTCCCTGGAGGCAGAACATTGTCTACTGACAGGCCTTAACATGGGCCCTTCCTCTCTGGGGGTGGAGGCTGCTCCGGAGCGGGGGTGGTGCAGCCCAGCTGCAGGGGCACCAGCCAGGCCTTCCTTACGGAAAAGCTGGCGGGAGGCCGCTGGGGCGGGCGGGGTGGGCAGGAAGGCCAGGAGTGGTGGACGTAGGCTGTCACAGCTGGGCCTGCTTGGGGCCGAGGGAAGTGATGGAGCCTGTGATTCTCAGCAAAGCAGAACTGGGCGCCTGCGTCCTCCTGGGGCTGAGACTCGCCGGGCCGGGATGAAGGGAGAAGGAGAAGGGCCTTTATCCAGGTGACTACGAGGCCTGGAGGTGCTGCCCCCCCACTCTTCAGAGCGGGCCACCCCACTTGGGCCCCAGCCTCCCTCTCCTCCTGCCCCCCCCACTCCCCTCACTTAGGGGGGCTCCAGGCGAGCCTGGGAGGGATGAGCTGGGGGACGGCAGCGGGAGCCCAGAGGGCTGGTGGAGAGGCCAGCAACTGGCCACCCCGCTCCTAGCCAGGCAGTAGCATGACCACAAATCACCCGGAACGGTTGTGTAAGCACCTTTGTGAGCCTAATGGAGTAGTGGGAGGCCTGAGGAGGCCATAAAAATTCAATCAGCCTGGCGAGCCGGGTGCCCACAGAGTTTGCATGAGTCAGGCTGGGGGCAGGGGGTGGGGTGGTCTCCAGAGGTCAGCAGATCCCCACGTGCCCGAGCCAGGGCCTTGCGAATCTCTACCCCGAGGTTCTCTGGGACATCGGGGTCCTCTGCTTTCCCCTCTGTTGAGGGGAGAGTGTGGGTCTCCTAGGAGATCCTAGGAGCAAAATGGGGGAGCTCTCCAGTGTCAGAACCTACGGAGACCTCATAGAAAGGGACGGGACAGTAAGGGAGGCCTCGGGGTCCCCGGACAGCACAGAATCAGAGCAGCACCTTCTAGGCGTGACCTCCCCTCAACCTTACTTTGGGTAACAGGATCGCTTCTGAGGGGCAGAGGGCTAGGAATAAATTCACATGATGACCTAGCATGGACGCCACCTATGGTTTGCTCACCATGTGGGTGTTTGCTGGGCTTCAGGCTTCTGGTCAAGTCTGGGGCCCCAGGGACGTTTCCTGACCCGGAGGACCTCAGTTCCCTCAGGGACATTTGTGCAGAGAAAGGAATTCGGGCCCCATCTGGAACCTGGTGGCTGCTTCAGTGTTTTAAACCAGGGCTCCCCGATCTGGGCCCTGTGGTCCCGCACAGGCCAGGCCTATGCTCTGACCCCCACCCCAGCTTTGACAACCAGCACTGTCTCCTTCGGGCAGCCCCCCTCCACCCCACTGAGAAAGTCTAGGCTAGAGGAATGGGGGGGGCGGGGGGAGAAATGCAAGTTCTGGTGAGTTTGGTGCACAGCTGAAGATTCGCAATTCTAAAAGTAAAAAAGAGAGATGTGTGTGAAGGGCTTTGGGAATGAGGCAGAGAGCTGGGCCACCCCGAGACGAGACGCTGCCCCTCACGGTGCTGCTTTTCTTGCAGGGAGGAGCTGATGGCCGGGCCCTCACGCCCCGTGGCTCCCATGCTGTTCCTCGCCCTGATGGTGCTTCTGGAGCTGAGCCCCACAGCCTGCCTGGGACCTGGAGCTCCTGCCCGGAACCTCCCTGAGAATCACATCGACCTCCCGGGGCCAGCCCGGTGGATGCCGCAGGCCAGCCACCACCGCAGGAGGGGCCTGGGCAGGAAGGAGCGGGGCCCAGGCCTGCCCAGCAGGGCCCAGAGCGGGGATGTGGTCACCGCCACCAGGCAGGCCTCCAGACTGCCAGGGGCAGGAGGGCTGCTGCCTGGGCAGAACCCTGCAGGCCTGTTTCAAGGTGCGGACCTGCTCCTTGGGCCGGCGCTGCCCTACCCCGAGAAGGAGAACTGGCCTCCAGGGCCCACGAGGGCCAAGAAACGCAACAGGGAACACAGGAGACGCAGGGAGAGGTTGAAATCACACAGAGGTAGTGGGTGGTCTGCAAGGGGGAGACCCTGCCAAGGGGGGCCGTGGGGTGGGGGGCAGAGCTCAGGGCCAAAGGCTGCAGGGGCAGGGAGGGACACCAGAGGGCGGTGTCGGGAGGCTCAGTGACATCCAGAGGCCCCAAGGGAGCAGGCATGGGGCAAGGTGAAGGAGGGAATGTGCTGAGAGAGGGGAGCTCGCCAAAGTCAGGGGCGAGGGAAGGAGACAGAGGCCTGGGGTGGAGCGCAGGCTGGGGAGGGGGCCAGGGGCAGTGGAGGCCCAGGCTTGGCAGCAGATGGGCCTCTGGGCTCAGGAGTTCTGCCTCGCGTCCCACCGGAGCCCTTGCTAAAGTGAGTTCTCAGCAGAGCCAAAAGCGCTCAGTGCCCCCAAGCACGGCACTGAGTCAACTCCCACGCCAGCTGTGCCCAGGTTCAGACCCTGGCTCCATCGCTCTCTAGCCTTGGGCAGGTCAACTTCCAGGCCTCGGTTTCTCCCTCCGCAAAATGAGGGTCATGGCCCCAGCCTCCCTGTGTCCATCCGGAGACGCTGGACATGCAGAGTGCGCAGAGCACGGCCGGCCGGACCGCGGCAGTGGGCAGGTGCTGCCTCCTCAGCGTTTTGTCGATGCTGCGTCCGTGAGCTGGACACGGGCAAGCCAGGAGAGCGGCCCTGGCCTCAGCCCCCTGCTCACGGGCCCTCCCTCGGCCCCTTCTGTCTCTGGACAAGCAGGTCCCGGCAGCCCCACCCACGTGGCTCCTGCTCCTGCCATCTGGCCCTGCACCGGTGCAGGCTACCAAGTGCCTTTGTGTGACGAGGCCGCCTGCAGGGGCCGGCCCAGTGCCGCCGGTCTGGGGACAAGTGATGTGCACCCAGCGCCCCCTCCCGCAGCACCGGCTTCCCTGCCAGGGACACCCCGTGGGCAGAACACAGAGCGGGCAGCTCACCTGACCTCTCAGCCTCCTCCCTGGAGGTCCAGTCTCACCGGAAGCAGAGTTTGGCTCCTGAGGAGAAACCAGGAGACACAGGGCCGTGGACTTGTCCTAGCTTGACGGCAGCCCCCTTGTCACGCCGTCCCTGCCACTCATGTGCCAGAGCACACGCAGGGGGTGGCCTGCAGGAAATGTGGGTTCTCGAGGGCTGAGATGTGCGGGCAGGTCAAGCCCTGTGCTTGCTGTTCCATGCCTCAGGCCGAGCCCTGGTGCGAGGTCCCAGCTCCCTGATGACGAAGGCAGCGCTCCCAGCGGACCAGGCCCCGGACCAGGCCCCGGACGTGCTGGAGGATTCCTCCACCAGCCTGGCCCCGACCATATTCTACTTAACCACCTTGGAGGAGGCACCTGCCACGGAAGAGTCCCGGATCCTGCCCGTCACATCCCTGTGGCCCCAGGTAAGGGTTCCCAGGTCAGCCGTGGAGCTGGAGGTTCTTTTTTTTTTTT